CACTTATGCTTTTAGAGATGACTCATTTCTTTGATTCATTCTTACCAAAATGCACAATTCGCAGGACACACAGCCAGTGTTCCACATCCTTGTATCTACGAGGGTGAAACCTGAGCCTGCCAATCCTTACACGAGACCCAAAGGCCAAAACAAATCAATCTTGTGTACAAATCCTACTTGCAAAAACGAATCAATCCTTTACACAAAAAGTGGTGTCAGAATCTACTCTTACGTCATTTGCATTCATTTACTATATCAAAAAAGATGGAATTTATGCAGTCAGAATTAATAATACAGAGAAAAAAATTAAATGTTATAACTGTAGAGATGAATGGTTTTCATGGAGGAGAAAAATGTGTCTTTAAAATAAATGGCTTTCAAAGCTTTATCAAAAGCAGAAATGAGCAAGATTCTTATCCTGATGCTATTTATTATTCTGTGTGTCTTTGCTATTAGCAAGAATGCATTATAGGACATTTCTTGCAGAAAGCCCAGGGACTGTTTCAACTCACATTCTAGGAAAGCAAGAACACAACACAACAGGCAGCTACCTACAAATTGGCGATTAACATGATGTCTAGACAGGTTCTCGTGAGAGTAACATTATTAATTAAATGGCAGTTTGGTTAATCACGATAGCCAAAGTAATTTGGGGGATAAATATTTTATTAGTGTGCCCATCAATAAATCAAAAAGATATATTTTAATTAATCTGTGTGTTATACTATTGAGATTATGGCTGGCAAATTTTGTTTGAGGACCTAGAGAGTGACCTAATATTTCTACTATGGCACGTCTTTATCTTACTGTTTCCAGCTAATGGCACTGCATATTTCAATTACCTAGCCAAAATTCCTTTTTTGTCATCTATCAAGATATTATTAAGGCCCATTAGTGAATAATTGGATCTGACAAGTTTTCGGTTGCTATGCATTGCTCTGTTCTTTTAAAACTAAGTGTTCTCACATTTCATTATTTAAAAAAAAAAAACTAAAAAAAAAAACCCACAACTCACTGAATAAGGAAGGATAGTGTGCTGCCATTATAATTAAGAAACTGATCTTACTTTCTATCAGTCAAAAGAATTATTTGGGAAAGGAGAAATACATATATTTACCAGTTCTCTTTAGTGCATAGATCTTTTCAGAAAACATAGTAACTTAATATTTTTAGAATGATCTATGGCCCTAAAACTACAGGGAAGAAATAAGTAACATAACATAAGTAAAAGCATATTTCTTTAAAAAATATTTAAATGAGTTTGTTCTCCTTTGCTGTTATAAAAGTACTTCTATGATCATCATCTTATGTGATCCTTCTAAACTTGCTCAGCGTCTCATCCTAACCCTACCACTACACTTACCCAAATAATGAAATCAGGACTTCAGTTTGTTTTTCATTGTTAGCCAACTGGTCAACCCCTTTCAGTTTGTCCTGGAAGGAAACTTGCATTGGGATTATTAAGAAGTTTCCTAAAAAAATAAAAATTTATTTTATATCATAAAGATTTCTTGGAGGGTTCTTAGATTTGTATCCGTAAATGTATAAATATATAACAAAGCAATTTATGGTACAGCCATTAGCAGTTAATATTTTCCAGGCCTCTTAAAACAGCTGGAAGGTAAACCAGAGGTCTGTGGGATAGATTTTGTTTTAGGTCAAAATTTCTTTATCAGGATGGAATTTTTTCAACCCCATCAAATCAACTCTACATATTGACATGTGAAAACAGTGTTTCAGCATTAACTTCACTGAGTTTGCTCTCAAGGGGCCTTCTCATCAATCCTCTGGCCTTTCTTCCAGTAAATGCCAATGAACCAACCAGTAAATGCTGATGGGTCAAGCATGCCAAATAGAATGAGCTAATGTTAAAAGACATGGAAATACATTCCCTGTCAAAGAGGCTAATAATATGCTAATATATACTTTAGACATCATTGTCATCTCAAAAATATCAGTGAAGACCAAATAATTTATATTACTTTGAACCAAGATAAAGATGTAGATAGGAGTGTTAAATTCTTTTTTTCTAATGCAGTATACTCCATTAGGATAGTAGAAAAATAATATTCTTTATAGTATTGAACTATCATGAAGGACTTAGCTTTATACTAGAAAAGTCTTACAGCACTCAGTCAAAATATTTGATTTATCTTTACTTACCTCCCACCAATGCAAATGAAAAGAAATAATGATTTATGAAATTTCACTTACCTGAGTTTACTGTGGAAAAAAAATTATTGAAATACAAAAACTATTGGGTAACTGTGGACTAACTATTCAATTAGCAACTTCCAAGATAGAATAAACAATGCAGCATCTAAATTTCAGTCTGTAACCAAAGTAACAAAACTAGTTGAAAAATATTTCTATTATAACATAATTCATCCATTTTGCTACTACCCTTCTCTTTGCAAAGCAACTGGAAAAGACCCAAAGTATCAATCATCTCAGTCACACTGGATAAGAGGAGACACTTGATCTGTTGGTTGTCACTGGTCGAGCTCTTTAGGGTTCAAAAGATATCTAATTTGTCTATGTTTGTGTCACTAGAACTCGTGTTACCTGAACTCATTGAACTGTTTTTCAAGCAAAAGGTCATCTTCAAAGTCAGTTCTCTAAAGGAGGGCATACACATGCAGAGAGGTACATAAAATATTCCAAAATGGAACATGTGTATTGAAAGGAATGAACAAGATCACCTGTGGGAGCAGAGGGAGACAATATTACTTCTATACCTATTTATTTTATCATATCATTTCCTTATTCATATGTGGAATCTAAAAACACAAACTCAGAGATACAGAGAACAAATTGGTGGTTTCCAGCGGGGAGGGGCTTTGCAGGAGGGTGAAATGGGTAAAAGGGTCAGTTGTATGGTGATTGATGGTAACTGGACTTGTGGTGATGATCACTTGTAGAGTATACAGATGTCAAATTATAATATTGTACACCTAAAACTTATATACTATTGCATACCATTTTATCTCAATTTTTTTAAAAGTCCAGGCCAGGCCAATGCAAACTCTCCTCTACTTAAACTCTCCTCCTCAGCCTGGGTCTGACTTCAACTCACAGATCAGCTGTGAGGGAGGGACCCCTCGCTGCTTTCCCCTCTTCTCACTCCACTTCTCTCTTTGGGGTGATTCCAGGGCCAAAGTGAAAGAAGAGATGGGGAACAAGGTCTTACATGGCTGGTTCAGCAGTAGTCTAGCAGGAGGTGCGCTCTGGGTATAACAGATTCCAGTTGCAACTCTTCCTTTTGTGGGTGCTTCAAAAACCCACCCCAGCCTGTCTTTAGGACCTCACCTGTTTCTCCAGATGGCCAGCCTCTCTGGTAGGCCACTTGACACTCCTACAAATCTTCTGTATACCAAGTAGCAGCATCGTTCTTCTGAGGCCACCTGCCCCTGGCAAAAAGCCCTCTGAGTGTCTGGGGTCCCACTCCAGACAGCGCAGCCAGCTCCCTCCTAACAGCTTTACCTGCCAAGCTAAGGACACACATACCCCCAACCTGCCATGCCTTCCCAGCCCTGTCTCTTCACATTCTTGTCACCAAAAGCCCATTTAGCCACAGCGCCTCAACTTTTGACGTCACCAAGTGTGAGTTAGGTGCCAAACACCTGTGTTTCCTGTGTCAAGATCCCCATGTTTCTGGTTCCCTGAAATACACCCTCACTTGGTTTGAGATAAGATGCACCCCTTGGGGTGAGAGGACCTTTCTGGACTCTGACAACTCTCACTATATACGTCCTCTTGCTCTGAACTTTCGCCCTCCGAGGGACTTCTTGGCCTTCGTCTAGACAGTCTAACGGTGGGTTGTGAGTTCAGAGTCCTCACCTACCCGGGCAGTCACGAACACCAGATATATTATTCTCTGTATCTGGCCTTTGACACGGGACTATGAGAAAAGTTTCCTTCCCAATGTTATTTTATAAGGGGAAGGAGGAACACACTTTAACAGTGGAGAGAAAGGCAAGAAGACAGACTCTATCACAGCTATGGAGGTACCTCTTTTTCATCAAAGTACTGGTCTGAGTAATTTTAGACTAAACTAGATTCAATGACAGTTTTGTCTTCCAAGAATTACAGTGTCACTGGCTCCATAGAATAAAAATTGTCTTCTCAGTATAAGTGGGGAAAAAAACAACACAATGTGAAAAGCTAGAAAGCGTAGAAGACCTGCATTTATTCTTTTTTTTTAAAATATATCTTTATTGATTTCAGAGAGAGGAAAGGAGAGGGAGAGAGACAGAAACATCAATGATGAGAGAGTCATTGATCGGCTGCAGCCCGCAACCCGGGCATGTGCCCTGACCGGGAATCAAACCCTGATCGCCTGGATCCTAGGTCGACGCTTAACCGCTGAGCCATGCCCGGCCGGGCCCTGCATTTATTCTTTTAACCACCAGTATCCAAAATATAAATGATCTCACCTATTTTATTTTATTTTATTTTATGACTAACACCTGAAAGTGAATGCATTTTATTATGATATAATTAACAAAACAACATGGTATTTAAATAGAATTTACATTCTCCGAGCATTTTAAATAATTAAGTAGATGATTGGTCGTTAAAAAAATTATGACTAATATATTTTGATCCATTTTTTGGTTATTAAACATTAAAATAGTTGTAGTAATAATGACTGCAGCTACAAATTGCTCTATAAATAGTCAAAACTTTAAAATATATGTTCTGAATAATCTGTGTGATCTTAAAATATAACACCTGTAAATCCCAAATCAAAATCTAAGTGAAATATCTAGAAATTGTTTTTTTCCCATTCCTGTATACTTTTTTTAGAAAGCTATTAAAGCTGCATAGAAATTTAAAAGCTCGTTAAAATCACAGCTATTATGCAAAACCAAGATTTTTCTATTACAAATTCATAAACGATTCTACTATATATTCTTTATCTGTTGGATTATATAGGCTCTTTAATTGTGGACATTTGGATTAGAGTCTTAAAGTACGTTTTTTCCTCTCCTTTGCAGTTGGTTGGTTTTGTGTACGCCTGTTACGTGATCAGTATTTTCATGGAAGAAGAGGACACCTGTAAGTATTGCTATATCTCCCTGCGGGTTGATTTTGGATGAGATATAGCTTCCAAACTAATCATTCTAGGGCTATGAAATCATTCCCGTTTGGAATTTAAAATGACTGAACTCACCATAGTAAAGTTACAATCAAACATTTACAAACCAAACTGCACTCAAATCAGATGGCACTGAGTATTGCAACTCTCAATCCAAGTTGTGTGGGAAGCTTCCCAGAGACACAGAAGCCTACGGGTTTGCTGTCATATCATGTCTTAGTAACTTTTCATAAGAAACCTAAACAGTATGCTGAGTAGAAAATTCAGGGTTGCTTTATCCATCACCAACTGTAAGTATGCTGGCTGACTGCAGAATTTTGAAATCTAATAATAACAATAACATCAATACAACAATACATATTATAGCAAGCTCTGTATGTATATAAACTATATAAAATGCTCTGAGAAAACTAAAAATGACAACCTTGAAGGCAAGATATAAAAAACAAAGAGAGAGATACTGAAAAGTGAAGCAATCACATTTTAGCAGAACACTCGAAAAAAGGCATATATGACCTAAAGTTATGTAGGTAGAGATTTCGCAACATAGGTCAAGCACTGGCATTTCTTAAGCACCTACCTGCAAATATACAAGTCATTTGTTGGCACAACTCTGTTATGGGCTCATGTAATACCAAAGGAAATTTTAATTTGTTTAAAAATAATAATTATTAGGCAAACAAACCACACTCAACCATATCAGAGGTTTGATTATATCATTGCAGTTACTGTCAGAGCTGTGAAGTTGACTAACAAAATAAGGGTCAGTTACTAGCTAGCCATTATAACTTTCTAGAACACAACCCCAAAGGGGTCTGATGAATGCTTCCCACCAAACAGATGAAGTGCATGATATATAAACTGGAATCCAGTTGACCATAAGCTCTTGTCTCAATTTAGTCTACCAAATGGAATAAATATTAGACACTGAGATGAAACCCACCGGCAGTGAAAACATGCAGACTGCATTTTATCTTTTATGCTTGCTTGGGGGTATTTTTTTATGCTAGAAGAGCTAGAAAATTTCTGACATTTCAAAAGTGCAGCTGTAATGACAACACTTCCTATTCTGAGGCTAAGGTCAAAAAGCAGATTCTTGGTGCCCTGGCCATGTGCTCAGTGGTTAGGGCGCTGGCCCTCCCATGGAAGGGTTGTGGATTCGATGCCTGGGCAACGGCACATACCTGGGCTGCAGAATCGCTCCCCACTCTCGGTCGGGGCATGTGCAGGAGGCAGCCAGTCAGCGTGCCTCTCTAATTGATGTTTCTCTCCCTCCCTCTCTCTCTCTCTCTGCACCCCCCCCCCCCCC